GAACACTACCACCAATGAAACTTCAGACCACCCAAGCCTTTATAGTAGTGAGGTATCGAACATCGAAATGGTGTATACACTATGTATATGATATGTTTCTTTATTAATATAGCATTACCATGTATATGATATGTTTCTTTACTAATGCATCATTACCATGTATATGATATGTTTTTACTACTACATCATTACCATGTATATGATATGTTTTTTACTACTACATCATTATCATGCATATTATATGTTTATTTACTATTACATCATTACCATGTATATGATATGTTTATTTACTATTACATCATTACCATGTATATGATATGTTTCTTTACTAATGCATCATTACTATCTGTATACGTCTCTATACTAATACATCATTACCGTGTATATGTTTCTTTACTAATACATCATTACCATGTATATGTCTTTATACTAATACATCATTACCATGTATATGATATGTTTTTTACTACTACATCATTATCATGTATATGATATGTTTCTTTATTAATGCATCATTACCATGTATATGATGTTTCTTTACTAATACATCATTACCATGTATATGATATGTTTTTACTACTACATCATTATCATGTATATGATATGTTTCTTTATTAATACATCATTACCATGTGTATGTTTCTTTACTAATACATCATTACCATGTATATGATGTTTCTTTACTAATGCATCATCACCATGTATATAATGTTTCTTTACTAATATATCATTATCATGTATATGTGTTTCTTTAATAATAGAGCTTTACTATCTATATATAATAGCATGTTCATTTACTAATATCGTAACACCCCTTCCCCCAGTGACTCAGCTGTAAGTCTGTAGATAAAAATTGGGTTTCGATAGCCAAGGTAGGCAGAACACAATTAGCTCACTGTGTAGTTTTGCGCTTAACAACAACCACCTAACATAGTGTTACCATACATACATAATGATGAACCTTCTCGGATTTTATAAGTAAACGAAATAGACCTAAGAATTTTTTACGTAATTGCGGATTTCATCGGACTTTATAAGTAAAAAATAACTAAATAACTTTCTTTCTTAATTCTGGATTTTGTAAATAAACAGATATATTTATTTAAGAGCTTTTTTCTTAATGGTGAATTTTCTCAGATTTTATAAACAAACAACATTTTTCTAGATTTTATAAGTAAACAGGAAATACTACACTTTCATATTTTTCTTTTCTTGAGATATAAAACTTGTTGTTTCCAGGATGTACAGATAGGTAACTATTATACCTTGACATATGATCATATTTAGATTAGGTTAATTCAGTAAAAAAAATGTTTCTGAATGTCATGCTAAGCGAAATTTATCAACTTTATAATTTTTTACCGATTTTAAAGCATTAATGTTATGCATTTACAGATGAAGACGATTTATATTTTGGTGAATTTCAAAGTGTACAAATTGTCGTTAAGCGAGGAATATTTTCTCCAGTTAAAACTAAACCACTTTCTAAATTTTACCAGTAGAAGAAATAATACAAGTAATTACTTTGATTGGATATGAAAGTTAATGTTGTGCACATTTTGAGTTGTACACCAATGCTACAAACCGTGCAGTCACTAATCAATCACACACTGATGTCACCGTATCAAGCACTTTATTGCAATGGTTCATTAGTTGTAATAAAAAGCAAGTAGATAGAGCGAACTTCTGGCAAAATGTAAGTTACTTTTACATCTACACACTGGAAGGAAATTACATCATGCAAAGAAGTAAAACTGTCTTTGTTCATCAGATGTATTCGAGTCCTCTTCAGCTAAAGAAACAAAAGATAAACTAATCCTGGACGGTCACTTCGTTGCTGTACTAGAACTATGATCATCTGGCGCTTGAAACATTCATAGAAAGTTTTTTATACTACAAAGAAAAAATGGATTTTTCTACGGAAACATTATCAATATTAGACAATGCAAGGAAAAATAACTTAGGCTAAAAACTGGTCGATCATTTGGATGAATCTTCTTCCATTTGCTGTGTTTGGAATGAGCTTTCTAAGCACCATCATGTTTCTTTCCATTATGCATAGTTAAGTCTGTCTAGTTGAGGGTAGTTTACCTGCCTCACGCTTATCTGACTTTTATGAAGAAATTTTCACCTTCTGTACAATATATGTTCTTCATATAATAAAGTAGTCCAACTGTTGGTTAAAGTAACCGTGATCCATTCAAATCAATGTTGAAAATCCACTTTTATTTATTAACACATGGAGAATAAGAGCACTTACTGGCCAGAGAATGGCTTTGGTAGATGTTCTGTTCCTTCAATGTTAACTTCACTCACCCTGAAACGTAGGCAGCATCTTGCACTTTGGAGAAGAAACTGAAAAAGTCCACGAGTTAACTTTGCATTACTCTTAAAGGAATTCTAGATGGATTTCTCTGTCAGGAAGAGGAAAATGTTACAAGGATGGAGTTAGATATAACGACCAGGAACTCCAGATTTGGTATTCTGTTAAACCAGAACCAGCAGATGGAGATAAAATGGTTTGTTAAATCAGAACCAGCGGATCAAGATCTTGTGTGCTGTTATATCAGATCTACTTGTTCTGATGTAACAAGAAACCAGATCTTGATCTGCTGGTTCTCATCTAACAGGACACCAAATCTTCGTTTGTTGGTTCTTAAATAAATTCTAAATAGATTTCTTTATTAAACAGAGGACAATATTATAAATGTGGAGTTACATATAATACCACAACTCAAGATTTGATGTCCTGTTGGATTAGAACCAGCAGATGATCTGGCGATATTCTGTTATATCAGAAGATGAGAAGTGGAATTCTGAAAATGGAGAATAACACTATACATCTAAACATTAACGTTTTGGGCTAGAAATATCTTAGATATCTTTAAATTCATTTACATACGTTTTGATACACTTCACTCACACAAATTAATGAGATTTTTAAAGTTTGTTCTTAATGGCTCGTCTGTGAACGAAGGGAAAGCTTGTTTGGTCCTATTTACAGGGAAGTACTCGTTGTTTTCATAAAACAAGAAGGTTGGCATTTTTGCAAAATCAGAAAATCTCGCCTTGCTATTTCATTGGCTGGATTGTCCATTGAGAAGAGCAAGTACAAACGACGAGTAGAAGCAGGTTATTCACGGTGGCTAGCTGACTCAGAGTTGAAGATTTCATCACATCAATGTAGTTTCAGTCGAAAAACTGGAAATTCAAGTTACGGAACACAGATGTCTTCATAGAAAACTTAAAATTAAAACTCGAAATCGTTTTGTTGATATTATTCTGTTAAAAGATTATATTCTACAAAAAACTATTATTTGATATTTTATCAGAATACCAAGTAGTGTAACGTCCAGAGTGAATAATATATAATTAAAAGTAAATTATATGTCAATAATAAAATATGTTACGAGTCATGTAAATAAGTAGTACTAAAGCTAAGAGTAAAACAAGTAGCAAGAAGACCTACCTTGTTTCAAACAGAGAAGTATGTTTCTCTGGTTCGAATTACTAAACGGAAAGGCATTGGTGTTCGTTGTTAGCTATTATGCAAAGTAAACGTAACAAACAGTGAATCAGGGAAGATGTTTGTTTTGAATTTCGCGCAAAGCTACACGAGGGCTATCTGCGCTAGCCGTCCCTAATTTAGCAGTGTAAGACTAGAGGGAAGGCAACTAGTCATTACCACCCACCGCCAGCTCTTTTATCAACGAATAGTGGGATTGACCGTCACATTATAACGCCCCCACGGCTGAAAGGGCGAGCATGTTTGGTGTGACAGGGATTCAAATCCGCGACCCGTAGATTGCGAGTCGAGCGCCCTAACCACCTGGCCATGCCGGGCCGTCAGGGAAGAACTGGAGGATTGCATATTTTCCACCCAAAACTGGTGTAACCTATCTCTTATATCCCTTTACTACAAGAGACTACGAATTAAACAATATATTTATCTTCTTTGTCATATCTCTTTCCTGTAAAACTGCTAGTTTTTTCTCAGAATAAAGTGTGAAATACTGAGATGGTGATGTACCATTTATAACAAAATAACACGTGTAAAACAGGTATCTTTATGTTCCCAGATATCAAGATGATATGTGAAATACAGGTGTTTCATTGGTATGAGAATGACATATGATGAAACGCAATGTTGAAGATTTATATTTTGGATATTGTTGTTAGACTCATAGCTGTGCAATGAGCTACTTGCCATGTACTAACCATAAATATCGAACCCAGAATTTTAGGGTTGTCACGCCTCTATCTTACCGCCGAGTTATCGGGAACCAACAATCTCGAAGACGTAAAACAAAATTTATCCTAAACAATAACGTTCTTAGGCTTAGATATAAACTATCCAAATGAGCTACAATCGATCCATATGTAATTCAAAAGTAGTAACTGAAAACAAATGTTTATATCCAAAACAAACGGATCAGATATATTAAGGTCTTGAGGGACAATTATAAAATATGTTATAATGAAACTGTTTTGTTGTACTTTTTGAAGAAAGTTGTTGTTATCGTCGATAAGTGATAGAAATGCATGGACTTTGTATTAAAATATTATACAAATTATCTTATTAAAATGGATACATTTTGGAAGTTAAATTGTCATGCTCTGACAAGCAGTTTAATCGGCCTACATTTTACTAATAAAGTTCGTTTAAGAATATCTTGTGATGCTTACGCCATCTCGGAGCATCATTTTAAACTATGCCCGATCTCTAAACTATTATTTGAAAACAAAAAAATGTTTGTGTCTGTGTTATAACTTGCGAATCGCTGGATCCTCCGGAGAATGACAATATTAGTCTATTAACAAAGAGGTAATATCAAAATTAGCCCCTTTTCAAAATCCATGAGATGGACTACTGCCGTTAGCGAAAGATAATATGAGCTAAAATAATCAATGAAGTACTCTGAACTAACTTATATTTGAGTACAGTAACATTTAAGCATTTTGAGCTTCTGAAAATTGTAAATATTTATTTGTTTATACAAGTTTCTGCAAAATGTACTAAGGTCAAGTTTTTGTTGTTTCACGCTAACAATTCGTCTAGACTTTCTTGTAGTGAGTACAATGTTTTGTATTAAAAATTGAGAAGATGAAATTGCGATGCTAGAAGCTGTCTCTGTCTTCATTTTTTAAATACAAAATCCACCTACAGGTGTATTAAACAGCTTGATTGTTTATTTATTTTTTGCTTGTATAGAATGTTAACCTACACAAGGGTTATCTGCGTATAGCAGTCCCTAATCTGCAGAGGAAAGCAGTTGGTAAACTACACACACACCACCAATTCTTGAGTTACTCTTGTTTGTCTGAATAGTTCCTCCATAATGAATTATGATTTTATCGACAAAAGGTTCAAACTGGAAGCAGCGTTTCCTGTAATGTAGGAATCAGTGATCTTAAACCACCAAGTTTTGGCTAACCCTAATAGACTGTATCGGAAGCAATTAGCAAAAATGAGTTAAAGTTCTTTTTCTATCAAGTCAAAAATATGGGAAAAAAACAGCATTTCATATAATTTAACTGTAAATATTTTGGAAAAATAAATAAACAGCAGTTCACGAAACTTGTTTGACTTTGCCAGATCAATATCTCACGGCAAATCTAATAAATATGCCTTCTCAGGATACTACTGACACCTAGCGGTGGATTCTAAATCCTGGGATTTTATCGATCGCGCGAGCAGAGCATGCAGCAGCTTCCCTTATTGGATGCGCTGTTGTAGCAAGTTAAAATAGTACAAAATTGCTAGAAAAATGACGTGGTAAAATTCATACAGTAATTAATTTAAAAATAAAAACAAAATATAAAAATTAGAATAACGAAGTGTCAAATTAAAATATATGGTCATCAAAACAAACAAAGATATCTTAATGTTTAACCATGTCATTTATTTCTATTTTTTCACCCAGGGGGCCAGCGTTAAGTTCACAGACTTACAACGCTAAAAATCCGAAGTTCGATTCCCTGTGGTGAATAGAATGTAGATAGACAATAATATAGATCTGAGTAAAAAAGAGCAACACAAACAACAATATGTTTCCAGTTTAGGCTTAATACATTTTTATGTCGATCAACAAGAATACCCGAACTGTAACATGTGAAACGAAGAAAAATGTTTTTTCCAAGATGTACCAGCCACTAACTCAGTCGTATACCAACACTGACTAGATGAGTATAGATTAAAAAATAAAAGCCATTTTAATTCGCTTATACGATCACTTAAGTCAAGTTATTTATTAATAGGTAACTAATTTTCTAATTAGTTCCTTAGCTTCTGCCATCTTCAGAGGAGTATGGTGGTAATGGCTTGTATTATAAACTGGCTTGACAGAAAAACTAGTGTGTTGAAACAACTAAATATTTCAGTGTTTAACAGGCAGGTTTAATGTTATCAGTTAGATGGACTTCTCCTGTCTTTCTTTTTCTCTGTTTGGTTCATATCCTATTATTTTAGCAATAGTCCAGTTTCGTGTATGATCTTCTCTCGTATGATAGGCTATTGCAGACAGATTGATATTACTTGTTTTGTATGTCTATTAGATTCTAGCATTTGTTGATCTTTATTTTTGTTTATCTGTTATATAGGGCTGCCATGACCTGATGGTTAGGGCTCTCGACTTGCAGACTAATTGTTGGTTAGTTACACTTTTTGTTGGTAAAAAAGTAACGCAAGAGGTGGCGGAGGGTGGTACTGACTAACTACCTTCCCTCTAGTCTACCACTTCTGAGTTAGGGGCGGCCAGCACAGATATCCCTCAAGTGGCTTTGAGCGAACTTCCAAAAACAAACAAATAAACTCCAATATATTATAGTCCATATTCACAAGGAGGTAAATGGGTTCACATTAACAAAGGGCGTTATGAATGGGTCCACATTCACAAATAACGTCGTAAGTGGATTCACATTCACAAGGTACGTTGTAAATGGGTTCACATTAACAAAGGGCGTTATGAATGGATCCACATTCACAAATAACGTCGTAAGTGGATTCACGTTCACAAGGTACGTTATAAATGGGCTTACATTCACAAAGAGCTTTGGAGATGGGTCTACATTCACAAAGGCCGTTGTAGATGGGTCCACATCCATAAGAAACATTGTAAATTGTTCCAAGTTCACAAGTTACGTTATAAACTGGCCCACATTCGCTGTAAGTGGGTCCACGTTCATAAGGTATGTTGTAAGTGGGTCCATGTTCACAAGGGATGCTATAAATGGGTCCACATTCACAAGGGATGCTGTAACTGGGTCCATATTCACAATGAGGTTTTTGTTCTTGAATGCTACTTTAAGTTTTCGTTATGTACGTACTGTGATCGTATTGTGAATTAGTAATTACTGTGAAGGTATTATTAAAAAAAGAATAGAAATATATAAATGAATGAATATAAATAAAATGAAATTAGTTACTAACTAACCAGTTGGACTTAGATAATCGCATAAGTACTAACACATAACAACGATAAATATGCGATCACCACAACCTGACCGAAGTACCGAACTAAAAGTCACGTGTTGAGTGTTTAAGTTTCATATGTCACGTCGTGTAAAATAACATTATAATTTGTCAAGTTCTAATATACATTCTAATAAACGTCTGTTAAAATCTACAGTGAACGGGGATTAAATCACTAACTAATAAAAAAGTACGTTAGATCAACATGTTGTATACAGTTACATTACATACTGCGTTACAGGAAAAATGTAGTGTCCCTTATAATTCCTGCGAAACGACTAATAAAACCTTGACCTATTCTGTACAGACATGTTATATACGTTACGTAGGTTACACTAGTTTGTTATAACCTTGACCTATTCCGTACAGACATGTTATAAACGTTACGCAGGTTACACTAGTTTGTTATAGCCTTGACCTATTCCGTACAGACATGTTATAAACGTTACGCGGGTTACACTAGTTTGTTATAACCTTGACCTATTCCGTACAGACATGTTATATACGTTACGTAGGTTACACTAGTTTGTTATATCATTTTTACGCCCTCCGCAGTGGCTCAGAGGTAAATCTGTCAAAATTCGGGTTTCGATACTTGTAGTGGGCAGAGCATATATATCTACTGTGTAGTTTTGTGCTTAACAAGAACCAAAACAAATAAACTATTCTTATTTAGATTATTGTAGTTTCATGTTTCTATTTTTACGTGAAGTAATTGTATATGTACTGA